AAACACCCTGGCCAAACTGCTGTATATCATTTGCATCAACCCTTGTATATCATTTCCCTCATTCCTCCTGACAAACACAGAACATACAAGTTTACTTGGGCATTTCTTACCTAGTTGAAGCAGCACTTTATTACATTCACGAAACCTGTAGCTTGACTGTTGAGGTTACAGCATATAGGAGGTAGGCATCTGTCAAAGTATGCCAGCCTTCACAGTTTCCATTAACTTCAACTGGTTTCATTTCTATAATAGCCTTGCAGTGTTTAAATTGTCCATTTGTTTTAAAGAATTTGCATAGAAGTTTCCAATGGCCTCCCCTCCCTCTTCACATATAACCAAAACAAACCTGCCAAGGTAAAAAACAAAAACCTTTGCAACAAAGGAACAGCTACCCTGTGACAGTACACCTTTAGTATCAAAGTCAGCCTGGAACAGCAGTACAAGACAACTTCAATCTGAGGATAGGTGGCAAGAAAGTATGGGCTTTCTATCACAGGATCTGCCCAAATACAAGGACACCAGTGCTCTGCAAGCATGGGAAGAAAGCATACAACACAAAAACAGCCCTGATCGAGTGATAGCCCACAGAACATATGCAAGCAGCTGTAAACGAGCAGAAGAGCCTGCATCACAGCTTTCTTCACACCATCAGCAAGGGCATCTCTAAGAAACTGATGCTGTGTTAAAGAGTAGGTTGCATTTTACGATTTCAAGCTAGCTGCAATATCAAGACTAATTTGCTCTGAAGACAAAGGTTTCATTTGGCCCTCAAGCACAGAACACATAGTGTCAGGTATGAGCATGAATTGTACTGCAATAGATGGACCTTATAAAAGCAGATTTTCTAGTGTAGGGAGGATCATACTTGGTGAGGAAACATTCAATTTAAAGGTTAAAAAGCCCTATTAGCTCCCAGTTTTTCCCTAAATGCGCTCTTCTGCCACACAACTTAATCAAACTCCACCCGGCTTCGCTAGCTGTTCCCAACAAGCACCATTCAGTCAATTAATCCTTCCACTACCAATACGTTAGTTAGCAATTAATAATGGGAAGACAAGGTATCACCCCCCTTCCCAGTACAGCTCAATACCATCTGTTACCAAGCCTGAGTCCTAAAATTACAAGAATTGAATAAGCTGTAAAGCTCTAAAATTGTTTTTGTGTGTGTGTGTGTGTGTGTGTGTGTGTGTGTGTGTTTTAAATCAGTTCTAGAAGAACTGTAGATTGTCTATTTTATTATCGGCTGCACTTGCTTATTTCTAGACTAATTTGAATAAAAAACCACTGAGACCTAAGGATGACCCCTGCAAGGAACAACAGAATCATGTTGCTAGAGGGGATGCTCTGACAGAATTTTAACATATCCTTAGCTCCATATTTAGCGAAGTCAGTATTATTGGAGATATTATTGGCGATGGCCTTGATCCAGAGGCCAAGCAGGCTTTCCAAAAAGTTTCAATTCTAATCAGAACGGATGGCATACAGCCTAAGAGACGTAAATTACTTACATACACAACGTCTTGTTTTGTGTATTGGTCAGGACAGAATGAGCAAGCGTGTACCAATACACTGTGCTCTAGCCTTGCCTGTAGGCCATGCACATCTTGCTATTTTTGCATTCATTTATAGATACTCATATGTTTATTGTGAAGCTGTGCAAATATATATGAGAATTATGAGGAAAAAGGGGTGGAGAACTTCTGAAATAAACATTTTCGCAGAAGTTCAGCTTTAAAAAGTCTCTCGGTATTGCATGGCAAAGAGGAAGAGCAATCCTTCAAAATTATGAAGCAAATATAATTGGTACATAACTACCGGACTATGCAGACACTAAAACAACAGTTCTGAAGTGTGTACTGTCTGATTCATTAGGGTGGATGCCACCTCAGGTACCGAGGAAACACTGAAAATTTCTTCATTTGGAAGACAAAGCCTGGGGCAGAATAGGAATTTTTATTTTTATTTTATTTTTCAGGAAACAGAGGGTTAGCTTTTACAGCACCTCTAAGACAGAACCTCTGAACTCTCCTATGTTCAATCAGCCTTTTAAACTTGATTCAGCATCCATGTTCAAAACCATCTCCACCAAGAACGTTGCCTCTGTTATGCGTATCCTAAATGGTTACCTTTAACAGGAAAGCATTTCATGAAGATTTTATAGATATGTTTGGATGATAGCCATTGAATGTCATTTTCACATTGCAATGGTTAGTCCTGTTCTCCCAGTGACAATATTCAGCTCACCCCAGTATCCAAAATACCTCCCATCCTAAAAAAAACCAAAATACACTTCCTTCTGACAGTCCACATTGTAAGGAACACTGTCTTGTGAAGTGACTGACTAGGATATTTGTTAAAGCTGACTGGAATCAAAAAACTATTTACACAAGGGTGTTTAACAACAGCCCACTCCCACTGAAGATCGTGAGAAAGTTAAGTGTACCTAACGCCCAGCAGAACAGACCCTTTCCCCTGAAGCTTTCTGAGATATGTAGTGCCACACCAACCTATGTATTAAAGGGGTTTGGCACATGGCAGTCACCACCCACCACACAAACAACCCTGCATCAGAATTTCCCTATCATTAACCTCCTTCAATTTACAGAATGAGCAAACAGTCCTGAGCACAGCCCACGACAGCATTTCCAAGAGGTGCTGTTGGGAAGGGAAGGGCCGATAGCCACAGCGGGAACCCTGCCACAGAGACAACCACAACAGTTTTCTGCCTCAGACACGCTGGTGCCAGGGGCAAGCCACTGCACCACAGAAGTCTCCCAACCGCAATCCAGAACTTCGGACACAGGCATATTTCTGTCCCATGTTACTATCTCCAGGAAGGACCCTGAACCGTGCTGATTTCTGAACTACAAAACTGTAAGAAGAGTTAGGGGCTATGGTGAAGCTGCTGCCAGGAAATTCAGTTGCATACTTAGACCATTCACTACTTTGATACCAAAAACCCAGCTTGAGCAGGGTCTATCAGTGACTCCTGGACAGGAACAAGGACACTAGCAAACAAGCAAACATATAAAATCAGCGACAGGGTGAGAAACAGCTTCTAGTCTTGACAAGCTGTTACTCAGCTCTTCATTTTATGCCATTATCCCCCTTCCCAGCAACACTGCCACTCGGGGCTGGCAACTCCTCACGGAGAAGTGAAGTATAGAGAGGAATCTTCTTGTCCCAGAAGAAAAGAAGGTTGCAGTGTCTTTTCATTTCCCTGCATCGCACCCTCTTGTAATCTGAGATTTCTTCATCTCCCTGTTGCCCCTAAAAAGAAAATGTCAATACCCCTTTTTCTTTTGGGGATGGAGCTGGGCAGAGGTCACAGAGGAAGCAGACACACTGTTCCCAAAACTATCAGCCTGATTCAGAACAACACAAGAGGAGCTGCAGGAGGAGCTGAACACCTGTTATAGCACTCACAATAAACAAGAATTAAAGCAGATAGCCTAAAGAGGCTGCATGGGCCAGAATTTTACTGTGGATGAGCAGTAGTGGGAGCTGTTAGCAGAGAAGAGATCTCATCAGGCAATTTGTAAAATTCCACCAGGAAGCTGCTCAAAGAGGAGTCTGTAGTGCTACCAGTTTGTCCGTGCTCCAGGAACGCAGCACATGGATTCCACAGATGGAACAGATTATTACGCCCTTCAAACCTCAGAATTTCTTTCTAGCAGGAAAAAAGATCACATTAAAAAGACTTCCATTATATATATATGTACAGAAACACCTTGTCAGGGTGTGATGTTTGAACGATGACATTCAGTCCCAGCTTTTGGAATCCTCCAGGTCTGCAAGGTTGTAAAATTCAAACTAAAATATTGTATCTCTTTGGCTGGAGATATAATTCAGGTAATATTTTAATATCTATTATTAAAAAAAACAAGTTCAACATGTCACATCTATGCAGAAAAATCAATTTCAGATATAAGCTTCCAATTTCTCAAAAGTTAGTATATTCAGAGACTAGAAGAGACATGCACGCTGATTATAGGATACTACAACCTGCAGTCCCTTGCATTTTCCACCACACCCTCATGAACTAGAATTACGAATGGCAAAATCAACATTATGCAGATGAAAAGACTTGTCCACAGCACTTTTCAGACCACTACTAACAGCGGCTTTTTTGGATTTGCTGCACCAGGGAATATTCCTTTTCCCAGACACTATTTTGAAATTCCTCTCTACAATTACTTTTCCTGAGCGCTTTCAGACCTGGCACTGCTGTTTCCACGGTTTCCTCCTATCTCAAGGCACCTGCATTACTTCAAGCCACTCCAGAATTAAATCTAATACTTCTGTATCCACAGTAGAGACAAGAAAATTTTAGTCTTTCAGCATGTAAGGATCTTTCTTCATTCTTCTGCCATTTCTCATTCTGGATAATTTCCTTCACACAAAGAAAAAAGATAGACTGCTAAAATTGTCAGTCTTGACCAGTTACTTATCTGTATTAGCTGACACCACGATTAAGCTCCTGTCCCAATGCTCCACATATTTTGGGCAACTTCTTCACTCAGACATATCACTGGCTGCATCTATCCTGACATTTTGGCCTGGGGCAATAGCGCTCTTTTTAAAAACAAATCACCCAGTCACACCCACTTAGTACACATTGGTTCAGTTTTCAGTGGTTTTTATGCTTGCAGACCAAATCCTTTTCTGAGGAAACTAAGCCAGAAGCTCTGTTCAGATGCACACCAAGCATGCTTGAACCCCTTTGGGGTTGAAAGTGTCCAAATCAGCAACCAGCCTTTTGGACAGTAGAGAACCATTTCCATGGTAGGGATGTTTCATCCAGGGACCACACTAAATCTAGTCCAGGGTAAAAACAAAAAAACAAAAAAACAAAAAAAAAAACACAACTCCAAACTATATGTAGTGTGGGATATGGGGGCCCCAGGAACAGGTTTTTTAAACCGTTCACATGATCTGAATAACTTGGTATACCATCTGTGTATATCTTCCTGAAGTGCCAAGGGTGCTTGATCCCTTACCTGACTCTCTCTTCTTCAGCTCTTTTAAGCTCTGCATCCCGTTGCAGCACCTTCATTATTGCCTCCTGCTCTTCCTCTGTTAGGAAGCTTAGGTCAATCATCTTGGCAGGGCAGGGGGAAAGTATCCAGGAAAATCTTAAATCCTGCTGAGGAGAATAGCCTTGTGGTCCCTTTTAAAGGTATAGAAGAACAGAAGTCTTTTTCAGCAAGCGCTGAGAAACCTGGATAAGGTTATAGTCAGCAGTATAAAGAGCCCCAAATTTGGCTTTCTTGCAGTAGAGTATGTGCATGCTTCCCTAGATAAGAT